AACTCAAATGAAGGCCGGACGTGGAGTGACGAGTAGTAAGGAGAAACGAGGGACAAGGAGGGAGAGAGGAGTTGCGGGTTGAGAGTTTCGACGGTCAAGATTGCATAGTCAAGAAGCCCAACGACGGTCAAGTCAACATAAGCTGAGACTGAAATGCTGAGATCGGAGAAGCGCTCAGCCGTGACAGGATGAGAAGATCTACGGAGGAGTGGCGTTGGAAAGCTTCAACGGCAACAAAGAACAACGAGGGAAGCGTCCGCGTGAGGAAAGGCTACGAGGGAAAGTCTACGGGGAAAATGACTCGGGGAAAATTCGGTGCATCCGGATCTACGAGGGATACATCGGCGACGAAGGAAACAGGAGGAGACAGCCGGAGCGGAGGTACGAGTTTCGTTTTCCTTTCCGTAGTAAGGGGGGAATGTGAGGAATTGGAGAACTCCCCCAATTGGACCCGGTCACGCGATCCAGCCAAAGAAGCAACGGGATCGCGGTGGACCTTGGACCCGGTCACGCGATCCAGCCAAAGAAGTAACGGGATCGCGGTGGACCTTGGACCCGGTCACGCGATCCAACCGAAGAAGTAACGGGATCGCCGTTGGACCTTGGACCCGGAAGAAAAGGAGACGCCGAGGATTAAGGGGACCAGGGGGCCCTATATAAGCGGGGCCCGCAGTTCAGCCGGATCAGTAAAAGAGAAGTGAAACACAAGTATACATCAGACAGCGAGAAGTCAAGCAAGGATACAAGCAAGGATTCAAGCGAGGACGAACACGAAGAGCAGGACGAGAAAGGATCAACGGCGTGGACGAAGGACACGAGGATCCCAAGCAAGCAGTCTACAAGGAGATAGATCGCTACGTCGAGACGTTCGGGACTTTAAGTTGCAAGTCTCCGAATTGAGACACAGGTAGCTGAGGTCCTGTGGGCAGCACACGAATCGAACTAGGCGCCTGTAACGACCCCTGGTTGAAGACATTGAGCCTGGCGTATTGCCCGGCGGGTCCAGAACCAGACGCATATCGTAGAGTCTACCAGACGGTAATCCGGCGTACGCTTGGTCCGTCTCGTGGCGAGGGTTGCGTTTTGGTGCGACAAGCCGCTAAGGACGCGCAGTTGAACGGCACGGGTGTTAAAGGCGTGCACGCCGAGAACTCTGCTGTCTGCCAGAGTCCTGAAGCAGCGGAACCCCGAGAGCCAAGGATTGAACAGCCCCAGCACGGAGTAGTAGGGACTAGGGTGGAGCCCAGATAGTCCAACTCCATCACGTGAGATACCCGACATCAACGGCAGCGATCGAGCGGGAGCACTGGAGAGGGCGTCAAACCAAGAGGAGGCATCGAGGGAATCATACCGAGGCGAACAGCACATTAAATAGTCAAATTCAGAAGTTGAATAAACAAGTTTAAAGTCGAGAAATCAAAGCTATCTTCTTACTCACTGGTGGGGCAATCACAACATCTAAATTTGGTGGGACGAACGTACAACCATTATTGAGCTAGCCGCACAATCCCGTAGCGAGCATAAAGGCAACAAAAACAGTTCGTTTACATACCCAAACAAAACAAAAAAAAGAACCCTAAATGTCGGATTAAATCCTCGTTCTTCGATGTCTGCCAAAATTACGTCATTAAGAAACATCGTCCGTTTGCGCAATGCAAACGCTAGGATGCAAGCTGTAATCAGTGATGCAATCGTATTGAAACGCTGCTCGCTTCAAATCAGCACTTGATAAAAGTGTTTTGCGTCGAATAGTGAGTTAAACAAACAATAAAATGAATGACTGCGAAAATAGACATAACATAATGTGATGGTACGTTTCCCTTGAATACCTTCATTTTTTATAACATATGTACCTTGTAGATTGAACAATCTAGAAATTAATATCAATTGGATTTGTCAAAATTTTCATGGTTTAATTTTGAATTGATTTAACAGCGGAAATAGACAGAGAAGGGATAACAGCACAATATTATTATAGAATAAGAATTTTAGAAAGTGTTTTATTATATTTTTATATTTTTTCCTTTTTTTGTCGCTATTTTTCTTTCATACGAAATGATATGGATTTCTTGGAATATCGTAAAGTAGTTTCACTTCATTTCCGCGTAGGGACTCCACGTACACAATAACTTTATTTTTATGTTGCTACACTCTTTTCGAAAACCTGTAACAAATTTCAAGTGAATCGAATTTTTTGTTTGGTTGTGAGAGGCTATATTTTGACGAAAAGAACAGTCGCATGAGCATCGCTCAACATCGCCCCATTCATCACAATGATTTGATGGTTTGATCAAATGTCAAAGTTTTGGTCACATTTTTCTTCGATTACCATGGCATGGTGCATCAGGTATTCCTACCCAGTGGCGGATCTAGGGGGTAACGGGGCAAAGCGGAAAATTGGCGCCCCCTACTCCTCTGCCTTATGAACTTAACAGATTGTTTTTTAAATGAATAACATTTAAAGTATTTTAGGTAGTTGAAGGTTTATTAAATATCTTATGCTCATACATACGAGGTGTGTTTAAAAAGTATCGCGAATTTTGAATTTTCGCGGGTTACCTCGTATCGAATTTTGATTTTTTATTTTTGTGGCGTTATGTTGGTACTCATGTGTGGCATACGGAGAAGCTACCTTGGACCGAAGCAACGTTTATCGGTGGTACAAAATGTTCTCAGAAGGCCGAGAAGATGTGAACGACGAAGAGCGTGTCGGACGCTCGAGCACTTCAACAACAGACAAATGTGAAAGTTTTGCTGACAGTTTTCTTCGATTGCAGGGGCGTGGTGCATCATGAGTTCTTGCCACAGGGAAGAACGGTCAATAAGGAATATTACCTGAAAGTTATGCACAATTTGCGCGAAGCAACCCGCCAGAAACGCCCGAATTTGTGGAAGAACGAAAATCAGCTTTTGTACAACGATAACGCCTCTGCTCACACATCGTTGCTTGTGCGCGACTTTTTGGCCAAAAACAGCACACTAATGATGCCGCAGCCACCGTATTTCCCAGCTCTGGCCCCTGTGACTTTTTCTTGTTTCCTAAACTGAAGAGGCCCATGAAAGGACGACGTTACGCTACGCTTGACGAGATAAAGACGGCATCGAAGGAGGAGCTGAACAAGATAAAAAAAAATGATTTTTTGAAGTGCTTCGAAGATTGGAAAAACCGTTGGCACAAGTGCATAATATCTTATGGGTATTACTTTGGAGGGGACAAAATAGATATTCATGAATAAATAAATAATTTTTGAAAAAACACAAATTTCGCGATACTTTTTGAACACATCTCGTATATTAAAAATTTTGTTTTATTATAATTATTTTGTTTCATGAACATTAGATCCGCCACGGTTTCTACCATATGGTTGTCCGGTCAATAAACTGTATTAACTGGAAGTTATAGCCGTTTGGGAGAAGCAATACTAAGAAATCTTCCAGATTTCTGGAAAACAATTCAAGTCTTTGCATCACGATCAAGCGCTTCTCGCTCATCTTAGCTTGTGAAAGATTTTTTGGCCCCACCTTATTCACTGGACTTGGTCCCATACGACCTTTTCTTGTTTCCAAAACTAAAAAGACCTGCGTATAAGGGCTTTAAGGATTAAAAAAGCCGTTGTCATAATAGTATGGTATGGTTTTGTATCTGAGGGGGATTACTTCTAAGGGGACAACATAAATAATGATATATAGATAATAGACATCTGCATGAGTGGCAAAAAACCCACATTCAAATGCACAATGCTCAACATGAGTTGAGTGAATTTGAGAGCAAAGCCAACATGAAGTGAGAGGGTTGACTCTCTTTCGCTTACTCATTTGCACAACTAGCAGGTAGAAGGAAACGAATTGAGTGAATTGAGAACGTTGAAAACAGAGACGTTGCATTCGAATGATTCGAGTTGCAAATGAAAATAAAAGGAAATAAAAACCAATTAAATGCAGTGAATTTTCTTCGAGTCCGAAAAGGCTTTATATTTATGGTTTTTTATTTTATTTATTTCTAAATTAACAATTACTTACAACTAATTTAAATTGGAATGCATAAACATTATTTTGCTAATATTTTCCGAATTAGTGGCTATTTGACAACGATTTTCTGTAATTATTCTGTAAAAATTTCTTGCGTTTGAAAATGTACGTTCCGAAGCCGCGCTGCTCGCTGGAATGCAAAATTTTTTGACTTTGTGCTGCAGTTCTCAAGAAAGGAAGGTACAGAAATCAAGCAAGAACTCGAATGATTCGAGTATTCAAGGCATAGCCAAATCTCTCATTTCACTTTTCGTTTCGTTCATTCACTCTCATTTCGTTTGACGTCTCAAATTAAGATAGGAATGAGTGCAAGCCTGTCATACAATGTCATTTCATTTTCATCATTCCACTCACTCCATTCTATTCGATTCGAATGTGTTCATTTAGACGTATGTTATGAATGTAATCATGCAGACGTCTAATAGATAAATTATTATTTTTGTTTTTGTGAAAATGAAAATAAATGAATTTTTTTCACAAAATTTAATTTAAACCGTAAGAGTCGTTAAAAAAAACTCCTAGTTCCAAAAAGCTTGTATAACAAAAATAATGATGTTATAATTCTGACCAATTCAGTTTATAAAGATTTTTCCCGGTTTTTGGCTGCTATATAATAAGAAAATGCTTTTTGTGCGGATTGAGTGGATTTGCATTGATAATAACATAAATTGTACAACTCTTGGAACATAAACTAAAAAGCAGTTTATGTGTTGTTAATGTTACCAAAGAACAGGAGAAGGCAAATAAAAAAAGTAATTTTTGTTCTTAAATTTAATTGCATATAAACGGCCTTTATTTTCGTAATTAGTTTTATTAAGTTGACCAAGTTTATATAATTTTGACTATGAATTCAAGAAGTGATACATAACAATCAAAGTTTAATAAATAATAAAATAGAATATAATAAAAAAATAAATAGTTTATGTTTAACAATTAGGCAAAAAATTATCTCAGAATTTTTTAGGACCTACCTTGAACCCATCATAAGTCCAACTGCCAAATTTTAGAACACAGGTCTGTTCATCAAATGGGAAATATTCTACATCTATCTCACACGATGATTTGTATATAGCTGGTGGCTTCCATTCAACTAATCCTTCAGAGTAAATTGTGGCTTTTGTTGCAAGAGTCACTTCGAAGTTACCATCAGCACTACATGATATTTTTCAATATCGGTACAAATTATCATTATTTTTTTAACTTTAAAAATGAAATATATTTAAAAAATGGCATATTACTTAAAAATATTTTATAAAATTATTTCACTTGATTTAATCAATCTTTTGTTAGTTGTAATACATTAAAACAATAAAATGATTAAGAAAGTTTAAGTAGCTTATTAGCTGTCAAGGTAAAAAAACTTGACTAATATTGTAATAATAAGGGCAGTAACATTACAAGTTAATATTTGTACTTAAGTTTTTTGACCCAGGATACATTTCTGACCCGGTTATGTGGAGTTCGTCTTTTTTTACGCCTATTGCGGGCTCAGATTTGTAGTTTCGAAATCGTATTATAAATCCTTGTAAAGGGTTTTATAATTTCAGTCAGAAGTTTGTCTAGGAAACTTTTTCGACCCCATAATACAGCACCACAATCCAAGTCGATCTTTTCATGAACTTTTGTCTGTCTGTCTGTCTCTATGCAAACAAGATTCTAAATTTTAAAGCTGTTCCGCTCAAAATTTTACTTTAAGCCTTGTATCTATTAAAGGTAGTATATATGTCGAAACGTCTCGTATCGGGCAACTACATCATATATTCTGTTCGAGCATCTATTAAGAGTATTTCGTAGGAGACAAAGAGTGTGCTGAATGCAGCACAAAAGAAGAATGCCAAAATGCGACAAACCATTCTTCGGCAAGCGGTGTTCGGTGCTGGTCGGCCTGTGTCTCTTTGATTTTTATACCTTGAAGAACCCTAAAATTTTGATATAACTTAACCTTCGTAATTAAATTAGTTTAATTTGATATCTAGTGAAATTTGTAAATAAAATTAATCTTAAAGTTATTTCGGTTGTACCTATTTTCTCTTGTCGAATGAAAGTCCCCAGAGCGGTAGACGCTCAGCACTGACAATTTAGCAGTTGTCACAACATATTCATCATAAGAAAGTTAGTAAAAATACTGGAAAATAAATTATTACGTCGTTGTTGTATTTATGTTCTTCAAGTTTTTTTACCCTTGCAGAGCAAAGGGTATTATAATTTCAGACCCCATTAAGTATATATATTCTTGATCAGCATCACGATTTGACTCAAAAAACGTCTGTACGTCTGTCCGTCGGTCCCCCTCTCTGTTTCTACGCAATCAAACTAGTCTCTCAGTTTTAAATACCTCTGTCCGTCTGTTCTCCTGTCTGTTCCTATGTGAGATAGTCTCTCAGTTTTCCCAAAAGCTGTGTAGTTATTACACGCAGTATATAAGTCGGAACGGGCCGGATCGGCCGACTATATCGGATAGCTCCCATACAAGAGAATGAAATAAAAAATTCTCACGCCGTTGTTGGTAATCAGATCGATTTGATTTCTTCCAGATGGCGGTTTCTAAGAACTATTGAATATCGGATTAAGTTTTATCAAAATCAGATAACTCTATCATATAGCGATAGGGAAGATCGAAAAATCTATATAGAAATAACGTAAATAAAACTATAAGATTGTTGTTTTTCATCAGACAAGCATGATTTTTGGAATATAGAGTTTTCTAAATTTTTTTTTTTTTTTTTTTTTTTTTTTTTTCTAAAAGACCAATATGTTGAGAAAATTGTGTAAAAATTTTGAATCAATTATAGTCGCACTAACGGAGTTAAAGCGTTTTAAACGACCGAATTTCTACGTAGTTTGACGTATAAAAATACTTTAAATCGATTTTCCCGAAAACGTTATTTAATAAAAAACTTATTCATTTCGCCGCAAAAAACAAATATAAGCCTTTTTTTGGCCTTACTCCCCATTAGAGCGTGAGATTATATTTTAATAACACAATTGTTTTGCACCTTTTGCTATTCGCTGTTACGTGCAAAGCCCTCTATTACCAAAGAGTTGCAACCTATTTTTTGATCAATTAAATATTTTTTGGAGTCTTGAATATGTCAATTCTATTGCTGTTGTTCATATAATAAAATCTATAAAAAATTCGTGTAGTTTCACATCATTTTAGATCTGTGAAATGTGTTTTATGTTATTCATTCAGAAAAGTTACAGTAGCATAGCTATTTTGGATAAAGTGGCTCGGTTTGCAGTGTTTTATGTGTTTTATGATGTGCAAACAGGCTAAACAATATCTAAGCTATGTTGATTTTTCTATTAAGTTTCTATATTTTCGACTATCGTTCATAAGACGGCTATATGATATAGTCGTTTGATTTTAATGAAATTTCAATCCTAACTCAAGAGTCATTAGAAAATACTAAATTCCAAAAATTATGCTTGTCTGATCAAAAACAACGATGTTATCATTCTTTTCCGTTAGGTCTATATAGATTTTTCGATCTTTCCTATGGTTTTTTCAATCTCTCGTATGGGAGCTATCCCAATACAGCGTGCAATAACTACAAAGCTTTTGAGAAAGTTTCAGCTAGATAGCTTTAAAACTGAGAGACAAGTTTTCATAGAAACAGACAGAAGGACAGACGTACAGACGTATTTCATTTCAGATCGTTATGGTGATAAAGAATATATATTATATATGGGGTCTGAGGTGTCTCCTTCACTGCGTTGCAAACTTCTGACTGAAATTATAATACCCTTTGCAAGGGTATAAAGTTTATGCAAGTTGTCAAAAATAAAGACAACGTGTAAGTGCATAGGCTTTGAAACGAAGAATCAAAATGAGCTAAGCTTTTGTCAATCAGAAACAATGCTTACTTCCAGCGTTGCCAGTTTAGCTTGTTTATAAGCTAGATTTTTAATAAAATAAGCTAGAATAAGCAACAAAATTTTTTTATCTATGAGATTATAGCTGGACTTAAAGAAAAGGACTTTAATATGAAACAGGATCGGACTTAACTAGAAAGGAAGCTATCTTCGGCAAACCGAAGCTTATATACAAATAATCATAAATGCTAAACAACACCTAAGCTATGACGATTTTTCTTTTAATTTTCTATATTTTTGACGATTGTTCATATGACAGTGATATGGTACAGTCGTTCGATCTTAATGAAATGAGTTTTAAAAATTGAGCATCATTAAAACACTTTATATTCAAAAAATTATTATTGGCTCATGAAAAACAACGACATTACCATTTTTTCCGTTAATTTCCGCTATTTCTTTATAGATTTTTAGATCTTTCGTATAGCTTTGCTATAGCTGTATGATATAGTTGTCCGAATCTTGTGAAATTTTTTTCGCCATTCAGAGGTAGTTAAAAAGTCGATGATCTAAAAATCATGTTCCTGGAATAATAACATAACAACGACGATATACATAATTTTTTTTGGCAGTATCGCGAATTTTGTGTTTTTTCAAAAATTATTTATTTATTCATGAATATCTAATTTGTCCCATTTAAAGTAATCCCCATGAGATATTATGCACTTGTGCCAACGGTTTTTCCAATCTTCTAAGCATATCAAAAAATCATTTTTTTTATCTTGTTCAGCTCCTCCTTCGATGCTGTCTTTATCTTGTCAAGCGTAGCGTAACGTCGTCCTTTCATGGGCCTCTTCAGTTTAGGAAACAAGAAAAAGTCACAGGAGGCCAGATCTGGGGAATACGGTGGCTGCGGCAACATTAGTGTGTTGTTTTTGGCAAAAAATTCGCGCACAAGCAATGATGTGTGAGCAGGGGCGTTATCGTGGTGCAAAAGCCAATTTTTGTTCTTCCATAAATCCGGGCGTTTCTGGCGGATTGCTTCGCGCAAATTGCGCATAACTTACAGGTAATATTCCTTATTGACCGTTCTTCCCTGTGGCAAGAACTCATGATGCACCACGCCCTTGCAATCGAAGAAAACTGTCAGCAAAACTTTCACATTCGACCGAACTTGGCGTCCGGCACGCTCTTCGACGTTCACATCTTCTCGGCTTTCTGGGAACATTTTGTACCACCGATAAACGTTGCTTCGGTCCAAGGTAGCTTCTCCGTATGTCACAATTCAATATTCGGAATGCATCCGCGCACTTAATTTTGTTTTTCACACAAAATTTGATGCAGGTTCTTTGATCCATTTTTTTTGAATAGCTAAAAATCAAAGACGATCCAAAACATGTGCAAGCAAAGCAGCTGTCAATAATTAAGTGAACGTTCAAAATGGACGAGCTTGTCGGCATAAGTGAGAGACATGAGTACCAACATAACGCCACAAAAAAATCGAAATTCGATACGAGGTAACCCGCGAAATTCAAAATTCGCGATACTTTTTGAACACACCTCGTATATTTTTCGATCTTTCCCATGGCTATATGATACAGTTATCCGATTTTGATAAAATTTAATTTGAAATTCGGTAGTAATTAAGAAACACTATCTGGAAGAAATCAAGTCGATATGATCAAAACAACGGAGAGATAATTTTTTTTTCAATCTCTCATATGGAAGCTATCTGATACTTATAGTGGCACGATCCGGCCCGCTCCGACTTATGTACTTCATTTAATGATTACTCAACTTTTGGTAAAGTTTCATCAAGATAGCTTTAAATCTGAGAGTCTAGTTTGCATAGAAACGGACAGACGTATAGACGTATTTCGATTCAGGTTGTTATCCTAATCAGGAATATAGATACCACTGCTGATTTAGTGAGGCAACACTTTAACAGCAATAAGAGAAGGCTTCGGCTGGAGAGGCAAGCATAGATGAAAGCATTGATCGTCTGGCTCCAAGGAGCGGCTTAAAACAGCCAACTACATTCTCTGAAAAGCCCAATAAGATAAAAGAAAATCGATTTTAATTGTCCTATTTTGAGCAACTCTCCCCATTCATGTACTTTAAAGATAAGATTGACAGTTCAGTTGAAGTACTAGTGTCTTTTAAGTCACTATCTGCACAACACTCTATCCCTATTATAGCAAACCTATTATAGAGAACTGCCGGACTGTGAAGAAACCCTTCTCACCATGATCTTTGCCTTACGCCGCCTAAACTGGAATGCCTCCTACCCTCCTATCCTAATAGAGTGCTCCTTATTAACTTGCCCTCCCTTACTA